GGGAGGAGAGCGGCGTGCCGAGCATGGTGGCAGACTCACAGCTGTCTGTGCCTTCCAAGGCTTCGGTCCAAGAGGGGCTAGGGGGGGGGGAACAGGTACTGTCGAAGCCAGGGCTTGTACATCCACTGCTGTTGCTGTCGTTGTTGCTGCCGTCGGAAAGGTTGCTGCAATGGCTGCTCTCGCTGTCTCTGCAGGGGCTACCGCCGTCGATACTCGCGCAGCTCGATGGGCTTTGCTCGCAGCTCGATGGGCTTTGCTCTGAATCTAGCTTGGGAGCCGAGTACCCGATGCCCCGATTGGTTTCACAGGGCACTCGTCTCCTCCGAATTTTGCATCGACGAAACGCCTGCCGCCGATTAAGCATTGAAATGTCTGGGGGCTGCTAAATCGCGTGGGGTGAGAAAAAGCGTCGCGTGGATGGTGGTGTGCTCTCCTCACGCTACAAGGGAACACATGGGGCTAGCTGCCTGCTTGTCTCCCGAGCCGGGGAAGGGCACAGGGTGCGACAATTTATGTCGTGGTAACTATCAGGATAGAAGGACACAACGTGAGAACGGTAAACAGTCCTTTCACAACCTGCATGGGTGAGTGCTGGTTTGAACATGCCCATAGCGAGCTGATTGGAGACAGGCGCACATAATTTGTGTTTCACCACCTGGACTCCAGCGCGATACGACCGAGTCGTTGAATCTGTGTCGCTTCTGACTGTGTTCCGAGTTTTGCCCTTTCCCAAAAACCGGGAACAACTAAAAAAATGACCGCGGGTACCACGCCCGCGGATGTGAAAGAGGAACACAAGAGCTGCTTGTCCAGTAAGCGCTGTGTGGCATGATTACCGTCCCGTTTCCCTCTGGGACGGATTACTATTGAATGAGAGTAACCCCAGAGCTTGAGGAAGGTGCAACGCTGCCTTCAAACAGATGAGCGTTCGAACGCATGCCAAAAAATGCAAGGCACCAAGGTATCCACATGCCTCCAAACAAAATGAAAGTTGTGCGTGTACTTCCTTTTTGACTGGCTCCCACGGTTCAACGTGCGGTCATTTGCCTTGGGAAGAATGTGTGGTGTGAAGGCACCGCGAAGGACGGCAATGGCGTCAGAAAGAGAATCTCGAAAATCCCGCGGGAGTGCGCTTTTTATCCCAACCAGTGGCTGAATTTCATGTCAATTACCGCGACGGACACTCGTAAAAGGATAATTCTTGTGTGTGGCGCGTCCACTGGTTTATTTATCCGCTTTATTTGGTCTCTGTACTTGTTTACGCCCTATGGAAGGGTTCAACTCGGTGACCCTGCGTGCTTGAGCTCGACAGATGCTTTGATGCAGCTGCCGCAGATAGCTACCGAGATTCTGCTCTCCTCTTGTTTCCGAGAACGAGTAGTTTAATATGACGCTGCTTGTGAAAGCTCGACATAAACATGCCTTCTTTCCAGAAAAATGATGTTGCCAAACATGAAAATCAGCATTATTAAAAATCCGACCCCTGCTGATTGTGTGAAGCCGGGGGCGTGATTGAGCTGCCGCATGTTTCTCTCGTGAGATTTCACATGGTAGATAAACTTTGGAAGTCCTTTCCTTTGTTGGCTGTCATCCTTGCGCAGCAGATGACCCTGGATGTATTCGTGCGATAGTCAGACGCGCCGAGCATCAACATTTTGCGTATTTTACGACCATGGGTGAATATTCGACTGAATATAACCAAGATACAGGTGCTTCCTCATTTTAAAAGTTCGTGCCATGGCTTACATAAAGTCAAACGAAAAGCATTATACTCGGAGCCTATACTCAAGGTATATCGCCAGTAGATAGTGAAAAATGAAAAGAAAAACCATAGTCATAAAGCATGGACACTAAAACCGCAACTTCCTTCAAGGCGACGAGTTACGACGACGTGACGTTGGACACTTTATGCTAAAAGAATCCATGATGGAAAAAATGAGCAAAATATGACTGCCTCACTATAAAAAAGGTACTTTTTTAAATGCGACCTGCCTACATCGTGTCCTAAAAAAACTTGAGGCTCTTCTTCATCTAGCATTCATTTCCTTCCCGAGACATTTGCGAGAAGGCAAACATCACTGTTATATCTTGATACAACAGTCATCTTTTGTTACGTGAATCCGTGTTTTTCCGGAATATTGTTCAGGACATCTTTCCCCCCTCACCTCTTGTCTATAGACTCATTGAATTTTGAATACTCAATAGTTGACACGAGAGTATTACACAGGTTGCCTGCACGCTACAATATCATAAAGTTACTTTAACGTTTGTCTTATCGATACACAAGGAATAATACCACCGTGATATTTATTGGATCATGTTACAAGTTTTCTTTCCGTAGATCAACTTTGGTGACTCTTGAGAGACGAGGGAGGAAGCTCTCACTCACGATGGTAATGTGATAAGCGTGACGATGACGATGGCTGGCCTGTTACCAGCCAAATTCATTCATAGCGGGTCTTCTCGGAGATTTTGATATCATATGTTTTGCGTACACGTCCCTGTATTTTTAAAAAGCCTTTACGAAAGCGAAAGCGTTCATTATTTAACAGCGTAAATCGGCGTGGTCGAGGACAGAAAATGAAGTGTTCCAAAACCCCTACAGCCCACATAAGGTTCTTCTGATCTACGATACGTGCCTTGGGCTTTGTCATACCTGAGTTAGGTCATAATCCACCACGTAGCAGCTCTAGGGCAGGCCAGTAAATCTTGACTGGTCAAACAGAAAAGCTTAAAAAAAAGAACAGGTGCAAGCTTCAACTGGCGAGAAGAGCGACGACCCCCTATGTTCTAGCTGTCTTTCCGTAACACTCCCGTTCAATATAGTGGTTGACAGAAAACAATTCACCCCACAAAAAGCTTCGACAAAAATGCCTCAGATGAGTGATGAAGACCAAGTAGCTGATGATGCGGCTTTGCTGGGATCAACGCAACTTTCAGGAAAACATTTCACCAAAGAAGGACCTCAGAGCCCAAGGCCACTGCCATGTGCTTGGACCTCTCAAAGACGACAGGTAAGCGAGTATGACTTGGTCATGGCAATAGATTTGATTTTCTTTTTTCCAAATCAAGCAATTAAACTTTAAAGGCGGATTATTTCATGTTGGGGCGTAAAAGATGAGGTATTAACTCCTTCCGTTAATTTCACACAAGCGACGCTTTGCCTGCATCATTTATACAGCCTCAACACTAGTCGTCATGATCTTTCTAGCCCTGATTCCTGACCGAACTTTTTTCCACGAACGCCGGCAATTGTGGGGATGTCTTTGTCTGAATGTAGCAGCGGCCCTGGTGATGTTTGTTAGTGTGCAATGCAGCAACCCGGGGTATGTAGAAAGAGGAGCACTCACGGAAGTGCACGAGCAAGGCCCGGACAAGCCGGCGAAGCTACTGGAAGAAGGAGCATGTCATACGAAAAAATGTGAAGTGAGAGGGAGCGGAGCATGGTATGAGGAGAAGCAACCCATGGTGACGCTTCAAGACATGGGCCCCACAGGCAAGGTAATGGAGCGACCACCGGACATAAAGGGCACCCACACTCAGGCTGGAATGATAAGGCAATGTGGTAACGGGAACAAGTGGGGATGGGGAGAAGGAAGCGAAGAGGGTGAAATGGACCGCAGGGAAGGCGATGGCGACGGCCGCGATGGGATGGCAAGCCCATATCGGACGAGCGGGAGCGATAGTGCGTGGCCAAGGGAGGATAAAGAAAGGAGACGAGGGCAACATTTCGTCTCGAGAGGGTGGTGCCGATGGTGTGAGATGAGAAAGGTGAGAAAGGCGGGGGAACAACCAAAGGTGCCATTCAGATAGGGGTGCCCTGCTTCACGCCTTGCACCACCCTCCCTCCCTCCCTCCCTCCCTCCCTCCCTCCCTGATTCCCCCCACTATCACGTCCCGCCAGCCCTTACGTGCCCATCACTGTCGCCACTGCCGCCGCTGCGTCCATTCTCTGGACCACCATTGTCATTTTCTGGCGACTTGTGTGGGAGAACGTAACCATTGTCGTTTCCTGCCGTACCTCTTCGCCCAGACCCTCGCGTGCATCTCGGGGCTGCAGATGTTGGACATGGGATATGTGCGGAGGTATGCAGAGAAAGGGGAGGGGACCGTGCGGGAGGGAGGAATGAGACGAGCGATCGCGGCTTGGGTCATGGAATCGAAAGGGATGGAGGGCACCTAAGGTGGGGAAGAAGGAAAGGACGCAGAGTTCTGAAGATAGGGGAACATTGCAGCGTTCCAGCATCCTTGTCATTGTGAGAGGGCGCCCGAACTTGGAAATCATTGACTCGTTTCATCGGCCATCGGTCTCCCTTGCCCTCCTCCCTCCTTCTCCTTCCGATGCCTTATCAAAACAAGCGCCGACATGCTCGGCTATTTACGGGCGAACCTGCTTCCCCTTTCCCTTGCGGTGGTAGTATGGACCCTGACCGGGGTGGCCGGTCTCCTCCTCCTTTTCCACTGCTTCCTCGCTCTCTCCTCCCTCACCTCCCACGAATGCCTCAAAGGCCCAGAGCGGATCCCCTACCTCAGGGAAGGAGCACAGGAGAGGGGGAGCCGTGGCCACGACGTATTGGATCTCCCTTTCTCCCGTGGGCTGTGCGAGAATCTGGCTGCCTTTTGCTGCCTCCGGGACGGTCTATGGGCGTGTCTGCTGGGAAGGACCTGGGAGCCGACGCGATGGACGAAGGTAAGGCCGGGGGGGGGGAGGGGAGGATTCCACGGACGTCTGCGCATACCCCTACCGAAACGCGTACTGGTCATGTTGTTGATGAGATTGAAGATGACGAGGTTGAGGAGAGATAGATGTAAAGGAGACGGGCACGGGCACGGGATGTAAAAGGGACGAAGAGTGAGAAAGAATGCAAAGCAAGGAAAAGAGAGGGTAAGCAAGCTATTGCCAGTCCATATAGCTCTGTGTAGGGCCCTCTTCCCTTCCTCGCCCTCGTCGAACGCGGATCGGAGGGCGATCCTTTTCCTGTTCTCTGCACATACATTAGCTGGATTGAAACCCCTTCGAATTGGTACTCAACATTTTTGGTTGCTATTTTTTCCTGATTAACTCTTCATTTTTGTATTCTTCGCCCGACTATATGTTGGAAATTTGTACACCCTGCTTTCTCCCCCTCTTAAACCTCTTCAAATCACTCCTCCCATCCTCTCTCGAGCCCTACTCCTCTCCCTTTTTCACAAAGGTGTCCATTGCCTTCGCCAACGTCACGTCTTTCTGGGAGACCCCTCCCGCGTCGTGAGTGGTCAAGATGACGTGAACTTTGTTGTACACATTGCTCCACTCCGGGTGGTGGTTGTGTTGCTCCGCCAGTAGCGCGACACGCGACATGAAACCCCAGGCCTAGAGGGAGAGAGGAATATTTGTCGGGAACAAGAGATGCGGGGAGGTCAGAGGACCTTAATTAAGGGCACATTACTTTTCCACATCCTATTGTATCCCGTGGAGTATTTAATTACATTCGTTTAGTCTGACTTGCCTCGTTGAAATCGTGGAAGATAAAGGTTTTCTCCACTGCATCCCTCTCGCCACCTTTAACGTCAACCCATCCTGCCAAGTCCTCCTTTAATGCTGCTGCCCGCGCTTGTTTTGAAAGATGAGGGATGCGTTGTGATCCAACGGTAGAAAATGGCTGAGAGGGACGCGTCACGTTGCAGTGGACGTTGTGGAATGCAGAGGTACCGTGCAGCAAAGAGGGGAGGTTGGAGCGTGGGGCAAGGCGAGAAAAGAGACTCAGGCTATTACGCGCTGGCATTTCAAATAGAGCGTTAAGACTGTAGGTTGTGATGTGCTTGGTGGACACCTGAAAAGAAACAGGGGGAGAAATTTGGAGGGAGAGGTCAAAAAGGACACAAAAAGCCTCCTCCAGCCTGGGCGTTGAACCTCTTCTGTCCTTGTCGAAACGAAGGAGAAAAGCGTGTCACCCCCACCCCCCCTAAATTATGGCAAACGGAGCCTTTTGTCGGGTCTCACCGCGCCAGCATCGTCATATCATGCGTCCTACATACCCTGAGCCCATACTCGTTGTGGTGTGAGAGGAAGTGGCTGGGCTTGGAATGCATTCCGGTGGCCAACCTGCGATTCTCGCGGCCGAACGCGGCGATTCTAACGCCATGGTGGGGTTTGGGGTACGCGGATGGGCGTGGGAAATGAGACCCGCACCACTCCAGGTTTCCTGCTGCGTACGCAGTTGGGACCGTTGTGCACGTAACTTGACACGTTAGGAAAAGCTCAGGAGGAAGGGATGGTGTTGCGGCATTAATGGTGCATTTGGATCTCCAGCCCAGATCGCCTCGCACGCCCGCCACACCCTCCAGTCCGCTGGCATCAACTATTTCCCTTCTCGTTACTGATCTGGTTGTGATGTCCTGATCATGTAAAACTTGCATCCTAATCGAAAAGTAGCCTTTTTAGTGTCCTCTAAGTGGAAAACGTGAATTCGTGAGGTTTTGACTGCCCTCACGCGTCGACAGGAATGTCTGGGCCCAGCTCCTTCCCCCCCCTCTCCCCCACCCCCAATACTTGAGGGAGAAATATGCATTGTTCACGTTTACATGT